CGCTAGAAAGCAGGTTAAATTCTAGGATTTCCTATGGATAAAACCTATCTGAGTGATTAACACATTCTCATATTAGAGAGGAAAGATCACTAAGACATCAAACAAACCCACATAGGCTGTGGGGGCCAGATGCAGGGATGTCACAGGCTTTCCTGAACTCACCAGCCAGAGACCACACTTTTGGCATCCCTTCCCCAACTTCCTTTTACACAAGCCCTTCTCAAAGTTTTTTTTTTCTTTCATTTTACTTCTCTTCCAACTTCTACACTATTTTTAAATGTTTTTAAATTAAATTTTATTTAATCATTAATTAATTATTAAATTAATTTTAAATATACATATATTTAAAAGTGTGTATGCATGTGTATCTGTGTGTGGGTATGTACGTGTATGTGGGTGCAGGTGCCTATGGAGTCCAGAAGAGGGTGTTGGATTCCAGGGTGCAGGAGCTACAGGCAGTTGTGGGCAGCCCTAGATGGCAGTATGTGCTTTTAAGCACTGAGCCATCTCTCCAGAACTTCAACAGTGTCTTCCTAACCCCAAGTCTTCCTTAGACGTGAGCTTTCTCCTTGTGTTTGCCTCCAACCTTTTTCCAAATCGCTCCATGATTTGTCTGTGCATGCGCTAAAAGAACATTTTTTAAGTACAGCTTTAAGATGACATCTCAGTTTCCTCATGATGTGTTGAGATGTTCTAAAGGCTGTGCTGCCTGCCAGTCTGTGTGTTCTCTTTGTGAGCAGGTTTCATTGTTCAATTGTGGGAGATGGCTGCTGAATAAGCTAAATGGCAAGGCAGCATCACTGCCGGTGTAATTAACCAAGCCAGCTACTTCCTCAGAGAAGTTGTAGCTTCATCTTTCAACTCAAATACAGTGATGCTATGTGTTTCCAGTGCAGCCTCCTTGTTTCTCCGTTGTTGTTCTCTAGGTCAATGGATGAGTGGGTGGGTGGTGGTTTTCATCCACATATAGGTACAGGCATACATTGGAGATGTTTGTGTCAAGGAGTAAATGGTTTCTAGGCTCCCCTCCAGAACTGTCTCTCCCTAGAGCTCACTGTGTTCTCCTGAAACTCTCCCTTGGGAGAAATGCCTCTCAAGAGATCCCACAGATGAGACACTCAGGAGACATTCCAATCTCTTGGCAATGTCCTACAGTGAGACTGAGCTAATCTGGAGGATATCTTTAACAGCCCCAGAGTAAAGCCTCTGAGAAGGAGAGTTGTGAAGGGATTGTGGGAAAGGCACTCCAGACGCCTGTCCTCAGGCTCCCGAGTTTATAGAAGGAAGAGCATGGAAGCCAAAGAGCCCGCAGTGAAGACCTGGGATGTCACCTGTGAGAATTTCCAGGTGGATGCACAGCTGGAGCTGCAGTGGGGGGGGGCTCATTTGGTAAAGAGCCCATTGAATGCCCATGAGGACCTGAATTCGGATCCCCAGCAGCCATGTAAAAGGCAAGAGCAGTGGCACACATCTGTAACCTCAGTGCTGGGGATGCAGATTAGCACGGTGCTGGAGCTCATTGGCCACCCAGTCTAGCCAGACGAGTTCCAGTTTCACAGAGAGACTCTGTCTAAAAAATAAAGTAAGGTGTGGAGCAGTTGGGACTGGCACCCAAAGTCAAACTGTAGCCTACAACACGGTAGGGGATGGGGTGGTGGGCAGGAAGGGAGGGAGGGCAGGAGGGATCAAGGGGTGCATACTTCCTCATGAAGTGTGACACAAGATAAGATTCATTCTGGATGAGCCCAGAGAAGCACCTGCTGTGCCACAGGATTTTGGGTCCTCCCATGGCATTGTCTCACTGGGAGCATCTTGGAGGCTCACTGCCGCCCAAACATGGAGAGGCTCCTACAAGCCTTCCATCCAATAACTTCGTGTTACAGCAAAACGCAAGCTGGTGCAGAAAGCAACTAGTAACTAGGTTAGAAAAAACTGCCTACAGTATTTCCAGACATTTAAGCCATCTGAATTCCAGGACCCAAGTACAATAAAACAGAAGAGGTTGGAGGCGTGCCTGTGGGAAGAGATCACATCCTAAACTCATCATTAAATTGCTGGGAAGCGTGAGTGATGAAAAAGACCAGAAAATACGATCCTTTGGTGAATTGGGGTCTCATTAATGTTTAATTGGGTCTCCTGTGAGACATTTAAATCTATGGGCAGCCATGGTGGGTGAGAACTCCCCTCTAGTGGCCCCAAAATGACTTCACCCTCACTTTCATTTCAGCAGTGGAGGGAAGCCAGGACATTTGCTAAAATATTTGAATGGTGGATGTGTGTTTAAAAGCCTGTATGTGTGAGGCAAGTCAACACAAGAGAAAGAAAGTGCTGAGGATGGCTTTTAGCACATCGGCTACCAAGCACTAGGGCAGCCACCCTGGAGGAGGTTGAGCCACCTGGCTTGATCCTTGCATTTCTCACTTTCCCAGAGGAGAGGTCTGCTTCCTTGCTGGTACCCGAAGGCTGAAATGCAGGAGCTTCCAAATGTGGGGTGCTAAATGTTCTGTAGCCTCTCCACCCAGGTCCCTTCAAATTAGAACCCCTGTTGTGATTTTGTTTCTTAAATTCTACCTCCTGGCAAGGATGGGGTCCAGGTGGGTGGCAAAGCTGTGGGGTCAGAGGCAAGGAGACTCCGAATTCAGTCTCAGCTGTGCGGATAGACTAAGCAGGGGCTGGAATAACTGTAACTCTCAGCTCCAAGCTTCTTTGCTTTGTGGTCTTCAAAAAATGACCTAACCACCCCTCCCTGGCCTCCGTTTTCCCACCTGTAGAGTGAATACCTTCCTTGGAGGGGTGCACAGCCAGGGTCCTGTAAGGCACACACTTGTAGCTCTGTTAGAGTTACTCTGTTCCTGCAAGGGAACAAGGAAGTCCCTTTGTTTCTCCTATGTGCATTTTTCCTTCTCCCTCCTTACCATGTGTTGTGGGGAGAGGGGGTAACTATTGCTTTTTTATGATTTTCAAGAGTTAATTTTATCAAAAAGCAAATGGATTAAAGTCCAGTTTCTTCCCATAGCAAATTGCAAGTGTCTTGAGGCCTAGGCCCAGAATCTTCGTTCCAGCCCCTGACCCCACTCTTTTTGCCCAGCAGTACTCTGGTAGGCACCAATACATGTTTATTGACTTGAATTACCTCAAGTTTAGCTGTGTGATAAGGGAGTTGATGAGTGAGGAGGCTTCTGTGGAGGTGTCAAAGTAGGCCTGCAAGAGTTCCAATGAGAGTAAGTGTGTTCATTAGTGGTTTAGTGAGAGGCAGGGGGCTGTCCACTCATGAGTATATATAAATATTCCTGTAATTACTGAGATCGCCCTAACTGACTCTGACACTTCACTGAAACATAAATCTCCATCCAGCAGACAGAGATGAAGAGAGAGAGATTGATTTTAATTCTCAAAATGAATCAAATTATTGAAATTGATCTTCCACAGATAAGTTTTCTTGTGGAGAAAATAAGTTACATGTTTTCCGTGTTCACCCTTTCTGGCCTTGGTTTATCAAAAATATCAACCTATAACACAGCTTCTTTTTATTTTTGGCACTTCAGAAAACAGCCCCCCCCCACACACACACACAAATCAACCCCTGCTTGTCCACAGGGCATCACACTTCTCCAATATGAATAACACTGGAGTGTAGACAAAGCCCTTTGAGGGGAGCTTGGGATCTAATACTTCAGAAACCTGAAATGGAAAAAAAATATCTAAAAAGTGGATGTTTTGATACCTACCTAACCTACCTACCTACCTATTTATTTATTTATTTAAATAATGACAAGAGAGGGGGGAAAAGCACCATGTGTTCCACCTGGCATGTGTTTGTGGTGATTCATTTCGAGAATATTCTGAGGGGAAAACCCACCTCCCTTCTATCTCTAGGAAATTCCCTCTTCATGGGAACGAACACCCCAGCTCCCACGCTCACAGGTCTGGGGACCCAGTGGCTGGGGAAGTTGTGTCTGTCTCCCCATTTTAGAAGCTACAAGCCCTAAGGCTAGCCAGGGCTTTCTCTCTAATCACAGTGTATTTTTCAATCAGAGCAATTTTATGGAGGTGGCTTAAGTGACTTCCTACATTCCTGTTGCTGCCTTCATTTCTTTGCTTGCACAGAAACCCCTACAGGGGGCTGTTAAGAAAGCAGAATAAATGAAGGAGGAAGAAACTGCTTTTCTTTTCCTCCCTTCCCCAAAGCCCCTCGTAAACATCCCACCCTGTGTCACACAACGCATGGCCAGCGCTAAGCCTTGGCAGTATTTTGACACGGTGCACAGGCCTCTTGTCCCCTTCTAGTCCTCTGAGGTTCATCTTGCAGCCCAGGGCTCTGTTCCCCTGCCAGCTTGGTGGGAGTGTTTAGTGACTGGAAGGCTGCAGCCCGCTTTCCCCAGAATTTCGCACTTCATTTTTCCATAGCCCTGGGAACAGCAGCAAATATTTCACCAGCCTGGTTTGCCGGCTACCGCCATAAATCAGACTTAGGCCTCAAAAAAAATATCCAGGCCTGTCAGGGCCTTAAGCTTTATTTTCTGACTCGATCCAGTGGTAAATGAGAGCTTGTATTCTCCTTTAAAACTGTAAAGGGATTTTTAAGGATTGTCGCTGGAAGCCTGCCAGCCATGGGAGATACAATACAGAGCACGGAACTGGTTAGGAGAAATTGGGAGAAGTCTGAAGTATGAAAAATGTCTTTTCTTAAAGGGTTTTCAATGAAATGAGAAACAGGGCTTAAATTTCATAAAGGTTTGAAAGAAAGAAAAAGGAGAGGAGGAGGGGGAGACCTGCACTGTTTATGATAGAAACCTTAGGAAATGAAGGCGGATGCTCTTGCGGAGGCATGAGTTACATTTGCTACGTATCACCCCCTTTCTCTCTGTGTGTGTACACAGATCCTCGGGCCATTCATTAGTCAGTTCCTGCCATCATTACTGACTATATGACAGCAAGAACAAACAGACTGGACAGTTTTATGTGCTGTATATTAATTGCTTCATAATTTAAGCAGACAAACCAGGACAGTGGGGCAAGTCAGTTTGGAAAACCCCCTGCTTAAAATGCTAAGCAAGCTTGCAAGGTGCAGATCAGCCTCCCAGCCTTTGTCCTAATTGAGTAATCAAATCTTCAACTGCAAAGGCTCCTAGAAGTCGGGAGAATGATGGCGTGGAAGGAGGTAGGTATTGCACCAAAATACCACGTTCCAGGAAATGTGGTAAATGGTGCAAAGGAGCAGGCTGAACATAGACGAACAGACCTCAGGGGTGTGGGGCTGTGCCGTGTTTCATTGAGGTGCCTGTGTGATTTCAGCAAGGTGTAAGTAACCGAAAGCAAGCCTAATCTGCCCTCTGCCAGCATCAAGTCATCACAGTCACTACAGTCCGTGATCTGGGGAGGTGTGGGGAGTTAGGAGCCAAAGAAAATGCCAAGCCTCAGTGGTTTCCAGGAGTATTTCAATCAGGATGGGCTGGACAGTGGCAGTAACCAGGCCATTGAGATAATGGGATCTGACTGGACAGTCAGGAGAGTTGAGCAGGAGGCAGGAGGGTCTGGTGAGAGAACACAGCACTTAAACTTGTGGAGTGGAAAGAAAAAGAAAGCCAAGTTGTTTGAAGGGATTTGTAGAAGATGCCTCCTGGCCCGGCTCTGCTGGGATCTCATGGATGTCTGTCCCACTAGTGACGTCATTTCTGTACCTCTGTCCTTCACCTGAAGCTGGTCAGCTGCATTAAACCTTGGGTATTTCCCTGGGGGCATAGAACACTGTTCTCTTGGGTCAGCTTCTTGAGGAGAGTGCCGGAGAACCTGCCACTAGATGTTCTGGCCTGACATAGTTTGAACAATGGTTCTCATCCTGGCATATCCCCAGATTGGGTCTTTCTAAAACTCGTTGCTGCGGACCTTCCTCTCTGACATCAAACTCTTTAGAGGGACAGGAAGCCTCGTTAGCAGTGGGTGACTGCTTTCCAGCCACCCCCCTCATCTCACACCTTCTGCCGCCCACTTAGTCATCTAGAAGAACCTCCTCTTGGGCCTCACAACTGGTGAGGTTTCTCTGATCTTTTTCCTCTGCCTAAAATGCTATCTCTGTATGTCTCTAAAATTGGTCCCCTAGGCAAATAATAGCCCTCTATCTCTTTCTGTATGGTCCAAGAATGCTAAGATTCATTTTCAAGTAGTTTTAAGTGTAAAAAAAGAGAGAGAATTTCATAATAGTAAAACTTAAATGAAATTCCAGTTTGAGTGCCAATAAAGTTGTATTGAGACACAGCCACGTTATCGGTGTATGCTTTCATATATGACAGCACAGGTGAGTGGGCACCACAGAGATTGATCACTTATGAATATACATTATTTCCTCTATATGGAAAAGGGTGCCTGCCCCTGTTGGAATTCCCCTGGCCAACCCTCCTCCCCCACTCTGAGCTGACTGTCACTTTCCCTCCATCAGGTCACCCAGGTGCCTCCCAGGACAGCTCTCCTACCTCGCACACACTATACTTGCTCTTATAAGCCAATGTTTTGCATATTGAATTCATTCTTCTTGTTTTTCCCACTCAGACTACAAAGTGACAAAAGTATTAGATGAAAAACTCAGAAAGTCATCCATCTGTCATAAATGTGCCCTAACTGAAAACTGGAGTAACAAATGTTTGCAGTGCTTATCTGTGAGTACTCATATAATAAATAACTTTAGTACACTATTTATTGTATTTTGTGAATTTCTATAACATATTTATAGATGTTCACTGTGATGTACACACCTGAATTTTCTTCAATATATAGTCTATAACGTATGAATGTTATTTTAATGGTGTTTTTACATTTAAAAAAATTACTGAATACCTTTTACATACAAGGCCTAAACTAAATCACCTTAGAAAATAAACAGATTTTTGCATAGACTGAGTTCTTAGGAAGTCAACTCTGATTAGTATTGTTCACTTAGGAAATGCGTTAAGTATTATGGAATAATGTGTGTAAGTCTATGTCAGGAGTAGGGAGATGGCTCAATGGGTAAAATACTTGCCATGCAAGCATGAGGACTTGAGTTCTGACAAGCAGAATTCACGTAAAGCCAAGTGGCAAGGTGGTACATGCCTGTAATCCAGTGCTTCTCTGGGGAGATGAGAGGCCAGCTAGCCTGGCACACACTGTAACTGCCCTTGCTTTGAGCAGGTGGAAGGTGAGGAGCAACACCTGAGGCTGTCCATACAGTTCTAGCACATCTGCAATGGCCACTGAATTCCAGGTGACATGAGAAGTGCATACGCACCATATGACACCAGGTCCATACAGTCCTGGCTCGTCTGCAATGACCATGAGCTTGCCAAAGGCATGGAGGCACGTACACATCAGGTCAACAACATCTGCTTCACTCTGGAATGATCTGACCTCAGAGGGTTTCCGTGTTGGCCGATCTCTTTTAACATCAAAGAACCACCTGGGCCAAGTCATTTCACTGGTGTCACAACTTCCCAGTTTCCCCCAGCAGTGTGCTACTTGTGTCATTTTCCCAGTGGCAAATGAGCAGAATAACACATACCCTTTCCCTACATCTGTGGAATGCTGAGAATGAGCACTTGAGAAGCTGGGCAAGACTAGGTGATCAAAGAGCATCCTAATGGGGCATGAGTGCAGGAATAAGTGCCTGGAATTCTCAGTGTGGCCGGGCCCAACCCTTCCCCAGCACTGTGCCTTCTAAGTACTGTGAGTCATCTGGCCGCTTCAATAACCAGTGGCTCTCAATCATACATAGCAATACCTAGAACCCACCCACAGAAAACTGAATCAGAATTCCCCCCATCTGCTACACCAGGCTTCTCACACCCTAGTCGGAGAATATGTAGGACACTTCTGGGTGGAGGAGAGGGGTAGAGAGCTTGTCCCCCTGACCACACCTCTCTAACCACATCTAAGTTAAAACCACAAACCAAGTAAACAGGTGAGGGAGGGCTGACACGGTGATGAAAAGGAAGGAGGAGAGGATAGGAAAGAGGAAGGAGCATACATGATAAGCCTTATCTCATCAGCAATCTTCCTCAACTTTGCACATTGGACACGGTCTCTGCACAGCAGGGATGAACTGCTGATGCGTCTGTGGAAAGGAACATGCCCTCCCAAGATGCAGGCTGCAGAGGCTGGACCTCACTAATGTCAAATTCCACTTCTCTCTTCCCTTCACCTTCCAGGCCACCCTCATTTTTCTCCCAGCTTTTCCCCCAAGCCAGCCAAGGCTCACACTCACGTCACCACCTTGCCTGTGTTTCTTGGGGCTCCAGCACCTGTGACAGCCACCCCACTGAGGGACTCCTCCTAAAATGCACAACTTCAGTAGCCCATTTTAGGGGTGAGCAGCAGGGTGGGCCACATAGGAGGATGTGTTTGGTGGGAGAGTGTGTGTACTAGGGTGTTTCTGAGAAAGGAGGAAATGGGTACTTGGAGGTCTTGTCTTACACAGTGATCAAAGTTGTAAAGGAAGCGAAAGAACCCAGCTTCCATCCCCATTTTCCTCTCAAAACACCTGCCCTTCCCCAGCCGCCTGGGGCCTCTTTGCTTTCACTCCTCGGCAACAATTAGATCTTATTTCATGCTAACTAATAAGTGTAGGACAAAGCCTACCTCCCTGAAGACTCTTCAGTTATATTCTGTCTGTAGATGGAAAAACCAGGGTGCAGGGAAACGCAAGTTTGCCTCACACCTCCTGATTAGTACTGACAAAGACTCAGGCCTTTCTGAGAGCAAAGCTGGGGTCCATGACCTCCACGAGGCATTGTAACCTTTGCAGATGGTACACTGGGTCTGTTGGTAAAGTTGGAATTAGTTTCCAAAGGACCTGACCCTTGTCACTCAAACGCACACTCGGAGCCATGTATGCAATTGTGATGGATCTAGGAACATCTAGGAGGCAAATCTCTGGACATGTTTCTTGGAGTTTCTAGATTGTATTAATCCAGGTAGGAAACCCATCCTCTCTTTTTGGAAGTACCATCCCTAGAACACATAAAAAGGAGAGGTGTGCCCAAGCATTGCACCTCCCCCACTCAACCAGCTACCTCAAGCTCCTGCCATTGTGTTTTCTGTACCATGGTGGATTTATCCTCAACCCCCTTCCTTTATTTGCTTTTATCAGGTATTCTGTCACAAGGACTAACTAACTCGGTCCTCAACTGAAAAACAATGCTGAGGATTCCTCCTTACACAGCTGAAGAGGTATTGATGGAAAGTCAGCTTTCAAGGGACTCAGCCAAGTCTGCCCACCGTGACCATTCTGTGCCAGTATTAGTGAACCCAACACTTGCTGACCTCCCTGTGTAATGAAGGGAGAAGAGCACTCTGGCCCCGAGGCTTCACCATCACGGAGCATTCAGTCCCTGGAAATTGCACTGTGGGCCTGGGGATGTGGTGCATTCCCTGTGTGTATATTACTTCTTGGGCTATTCTTAGAAATATAGCAACAAGCTGTCTGTACGTGTGGCCCAACTTTGCACATGAGTAGCCTTACCTGGAGGGCATCAGATCTAACTGTTGTAATTTTTAAAAGTAAGAGAAAGACTTCATGTAGCAGCACTTGGGTGGAGGGGTTTTTTCCTGGGGGAAAGTGAATGGGGAAGGTGTTGGGGAAAGGGGAGGCTGGCCTCAGGAGACAGGCGCAACAGGAGAGGAGGGGAGAGAGGGGTGGGTAGGGCCATTTTAGAAGGGAACACAGTGAATGTTGTAAACGTGTGCACAGGTGGTGCTCTTAGTGGCTGCAGCTGAAAGCATTTCCTGTCAGAAACCCAAGGACAGGCCAGTACAGATGCTGGAATACAACACTAACCACTTGCTTCCTTAGATGGCAAGCATGGTGCCTTGCTACAGCCTGACATTTCCAATCACAACCCTGAGATGGATGAGCATGTCATCAAGCTGGAGCACCAAAGCCATGTGAAGGGCTGTTCCTGCTGTGATTCTCACAGACCGACAATTCTCAGTAGAAGCCATTAGACTCAACAGGAATCTTTTGTTGTTGCTGCTGCTGTTGTTTGGCTTTTCTGTTTGTTTTGTTTTGTTTTTCAAGACAGGGTTTCTCTGTCTTACAGACCTGGCTGTCCTGGAACATACTCTGTAGACCAGGTTGACCTTGAACTCATAGAGATCCACCTTCTGGCTTCTGCCTTTTGAGTGTTGGGATTAAAGATTTGCACCACCACTGTCTGGCTCAGCAGGAATCTTTCCTGCCACTGTTGTCATGGGTCTTAGAAGTCAGTGAACTATGGTACCCAGAAGATGAGGACAAAAATAAAAGATGAGAGCCTAGAATTTAAAGGAAGTTCCCTAATGCTACACACTGCTATTATCCTCCAGTACAATTGAGGAACATGAAGCTGTGTGGGTTTTCTCAACCTACCCAAGATTACATGTATCACAGTTGGGACCCTACCATGATCCCTCCTAGCTTCTGAACCCAATGTGACCTAGGACCTCAATAAAATTCTTGCCCTGTCTTCTTTCTTCAATGGATAATTTAAAATAGAAATAATAAATATAACACCTCATTGTGTATAGGTAGGACTTTACTCCCGATAAATGGTGTTCTTTCAGCTTGACCACACATGCTGCACAGAACGGAAGTCGTTCCACTATGGGCTCTGACATGGGTTATCGGCTAGAGCCTTATTTCTGGCCCACACACACACCAGTATCAAAAGCCTTGCTCAGAGACTCACTGATGACCCATGTCTGCAAGGCTCATGTCTGTTCTATGCCATTTCAGAATGTTGGGGTTTTAAAAGAAAAACCTCTCCACAGAATATATAGGATATATGTGAATGTAAAATTGAATTTCTCAAGAACCACAATGAGGAATTGCCTTTCTCCAGTAAGAATGACTGTGATGAAAAATACAAAAAGAAAAAAAACGCTGGTGAAGAAAAGAGATCCCTGGTCCACTGTAATGGACGTGTAAATGACTATAGCCCTTATGGATAACAAGATGGAAGCTCATGTTAAAACTGCAAATTGAATTGCCATACAATCCAACAACCTCTTTACTGGGTATCTCCCCAAAGCAATAAAATAGTGCATCAGAGACACCTTCTCTGCTATGTGTATTACAGCACAATTTGCAATAGCCAAGAGGTGGAAACACCCCAAGGGGCCATCAACTAATAGGTGGCTAAGGAAAGTGGACACAATGGAATACTATTTAGTGGCAGAAACAATGAAACCCTGACAGTGCTGGTGGAATCACTCTGTTAAGTGAAATAAAGCAGGCATGAAAAGACAAGTACCACGTGGCTGTACTCATACGTGGAGTTACTCTCACAGACATGGAAAGCTGATTCTACATGGGACTACAGGCTCTTCTGTGTTTGAGGCCTCTTGTACTGACAACAGTAGTAGCAGAATAATAATAACCTTGATAGAGTAACTACCATCTAATGGTTTCCACAAGGGAACCATTTATACCAAATAACTTGTTCTTCATAGTAATATTAATGGTATAGGAGTTATTTCAGCTTTGTTGATGATAGTAACTAAAACCTAACCACATAACTCACCCAATATTAAAATGCAAAAAAGAAATCTTGCCTTTTGAGAAATAGGATTTTAAAAAAGATTAGATAAAAACAAAAATGATTTTTTAAATATGTTAATAGGCTAGAGGGATGGCTCAGTGGTTAAGAGCATTTGCTATTCTTGCAAGGGACCCTAGTTCAATTCCCAGAATCTAGACAGAGGCTCACAAACAGTTCTCTAGTTCCAGGGGATATGATGGTCTCTTCTGACCTCAGGAGGTATCAGGCACACACATGGTATGCATACATACATACATATAGGCAAAACACTAATACACACAAAATAAGAATAAATATTTATTAAAACTTTAAGGGAGTGTTTGAAACACACTTATGTGAATGTGATGGATATAGCTAAAGAAAAAATGCATAATTCCTGAGTCTCTACATGACCAGAAATCCCAAATCCAGAGTCACTACTACACAGTGCTAGAGCTAGTGTTTCCCACACAGAAGTATAAAGCCTGAAGTCCGCCATACAGAAAGGGCAGAGGAGATAACCCCAAACACATCAAGATGGTTGAAGGGCATCACTCACAATGAGTGAACTTGGAAAACACCTACCCTGTAGAACAAGAAAACGGAAATGCATGCCTGAATTGGCCCTACCTCTGAGCAGAGAAGAAAAAGATTTTTTAAAAATCCCCTCTTTTTCTAATTACAGATCTGCACTTTTATGAGTTTGGGGCCTTAATATACACAAATCAGAATGGCTGGAAGAAAACCCTGAAATTTTAAATTGGTTCCAAGTTTGTGAAACCCTCAGGCTTCTGGCAGAGACCAATTCCAATCTTCTCTGAAAGAAAGTACTTCTGGAGAGGGTCTCAGAGAATTCCTACATATTAAGTTGCAAAGAAAACGAGTTCAATTGAAAATAATCACTAAACACAAAAGTAAATAAGCCACCCTGAGAGAGAGAGAGAGACAGAGAGAGAGAGAGAACAGGCGCAAACACTAGAATCAGACCTTCAGAAGCCACAGTGCGCACGTTCATCAATAGAACATAAGCGTAGTGAACTTCGTATGTTCCAAAGATAGGAGAAAAGACTGAATGACCAACAAAGGAAAGAGGGGACTTTCTAACTGGCCATGTTTGAAAAGGGGCCAAGTAGAAATTCAAAAGTTAAAAAAAGGTGGTAAATGAAATTAAAAATTAAATTATTAGACTGAAGATAGATTGATGTTCTGGAATACTGAAGAAATTATATGGAATCTGACGGTGGGAAAAGGGGGCAAGAAGAACTATGAACATATCTGGGAAGCCTAGAAAGCAAAGTGGTAATTCTCTATAGGAAGCAATCAGGGAGATGGAAAGAAACAGAACCAAAATGATGACAGAGAAATCTCCAGAATTAATTCAAGACACCAGTTCACAGAACAGAACAAGGAAGGTCAGAAAATAGCAAGAAAAAAAAGCTAAGAAAGAAATTCTCTCTTAGACCACAGCAAAACTGTGGGGTCATGAAGTAAAAAGAGTATCCGAGAGAATAGGCAGGCCATCTGAGAGAGGCTGACAAGCTGACAGGGGAAACTAAAACTAAATTACAATCCAGAATAATAAGGAGGAGTTAAAGACTGAATCTGCAAATTTTAGAAAGAAGGAAATGATCCATGAAGGTTGGTCTGAAGTGTACATAAAGCAATAAACAAAGGTAAAAGTAGTATGTGAATGAAGATGAGCAATAATGATGTCTAACTCTAACTTAGGAATTACAGATATAAACACATGCTTAATTATACATTTATTTATTTATACGTGCGCAAGTGTGTTTGTCTGTGTGAGAGTATGTGCACATGAGTGCAGGTGCCTACAATGCCTGAAGAAGGCATAGGATCCCCTAGAGCTGGGGTTGTAAGCTGTTGGTATCTTTCCAATGAGGCTGCTGGGAACTGAGCTCCAGGTTTCTGTAAAAGCATCAAGCACCAGATTATGAATTTTAAAATCAAGAGAAAATTCAAGTACTAGAAAATATCACATAAAACTTAAAGATGAGCAATCACAATTAAGAAATCTGTGTTTCTTGTATTAGTCAAGACCTTAAAACTTTAAATTTTATTTTATTAAACATAAAGATTAAAATTGTAGGTGACCAGTAAAAGAAGCTAGAATTCATGAGGTGGAGAGGATTAAAATGGAAGGAAGGGAAGATGGAGCCAAAAATAAAGAATGAGAGGAAGCAAAAGGAAACAGGAAAGGGATAATTATTATTAGAAAATATAAAATGCTAAAAAGCAAGTCTAATCTGTTTGGTTATTACAAATGATGTAAGTGGACCTCCAATTAAATAATAAAGACACCGAGACTTTAGCTTATCTTGGAAAGAATAGTTGATCCAAGCTGAGAAGTAGAAACAAGGCTTAGAAAACAACCCAAGCATTACTAAGTCACAAGGGGCTTGACAAGTTTAGCTGAGGGGTAGCTCAGCCAACAAAGACTCCTAACGCCAAATGTGACAGCCTGAGTTTGATCCCAGGTCCCATGTGGTCATAGGACAGAGCCAACTCCAAAAGGCTGTTCTCTGACCTCCACATATATGCTGTGGCTTGTGTATGACCATACAAATACACACACACACACACACACACACACACACACACACACACACACAAGCTGGAATATAGAGAGAAACCCTATCTCAATAACAAGAAACACTCTAAAAAATATCTAGCTAAAGCCTTTGGCTTTTGATTTAAAAGTCTGTACTGTTGAAGCATGGGATAGGAAAGTTTTGGTTTTCACTCTAAGACTTGTATTATTATTATTATTATTTTAATGATTTTTTTCATATTCATGAGTTAGAATAACAAAATGTTTTAAGTTGGCCAGCATGGTGGTACATGCCTTCAGTCTCAGCACTCAGGAGCAGAAGCAAGTGGATCACTATAAGATCCAGGCTAGCCTGATCTACAGAACAAGTCTCAGACCGGCCAGAAATACATAGCCAGCCCCCCTCAAAAAACTTTAGTTTTGAAATTAACAACAAAAGCCAACTGTTGATTTGAAAAAGTGTGTGCTTAAGTGTATGTGTTAAATGCATATTTGTGAATTAAATGTTAAGAGGATTGTTCCTCTGTGCACATGTGTACTGTTTGTCTGTGAATTAAATGTTAAGGGGATTGTTTCCCTGTGCACATATATACTGTTGGAATTTGGGGCAGTACGTTTGGTTTAACAACCAAAAAGTAGACAGTGAGATACTACAGATTTTTCAGAAAGGGGAAACAGAGCAGAGCGCTCTTTGGGAAACCGTTTGGTGTGTATTGAGAGTTCAGGAGACAAAGCCGGCTTCCAGCCTGCTCTGGTGACAGGCCCGCTCTGCACATCCTGGTGCATTCACACAGAGTAGTGAATTCCTCATCTCTTTCCCCAAAGGCTTCTGCAGAGCAGAGGCTAAATCCTACTTAAGATTTTGAAAGGTTCCTACATATATAAGTGAGTATAAATCAATTTGACTAGAGACCCTCCTGGTCTCAACCCATACACAGGAGCAGCCACAGTAACTTTGTGCTCTTATATACATATTTGGGAAAGCCAAGGGGAAGCCTCAGCCATGCTCTGGGCTCTCACGTTGGACTGGCAAGTGTACCTTCTGTGTCCAGGAGTTAGACGACTTGAGATCTTAGGCAGCAAACAGCCAAGGAACCAGGAAGCACCCTTGTTATTGTGCTTAGGGTCTCCATCACAGTATCCAAACTGACCATTCTTTCACTAGACCAGCTAAAGCTCCGTGTGTGACAAGCACATGTCACTTAGCCTTAGTTTTCTGGTACATTTTAAACCAGAATTCTCTTTTTTTTTTCCCATTTGTGCACATGCGTGCACGTGTGCGTGTGCGTGTGTGTGGGGGGGCACATATGTGTGGAGACATGTTTGCATGCATGTGGACACACATGTGTATGAGTGGGTGTACTTGTGGAGGTCCAAGGTGATGTCCAGGACTCACTCACCATGCTGTATTCACTGTGGTAGGGTCCCTATCAAATTCAGAGCTGACTGAATGGCTACTTTCACTGGCCAGCCTGCTCTAGGGTGAAATCTGACTTCCCAGGCTGAAATCAAAGGTGGCCCACTCTGAGCATTTCCTTGGGTTCTGGGGATCCACACCCAGGTCCTTCCGCATGAACGGTCATTGCTGTACTCACTGAGCTATCTCCACACTCA